CTGGCCAGGCGCTTGCAGCTCCGAATCAGGTGGCCAATCAGATAGGGAGGGTTGAATGTTACAACTGTAACCAACCCGGACACTTTGCACGCAATTGCCTATTGCCAAGGCGTACCCAACCCCCGTCGGCAGTTGCGCGTATTGCCTTAAATCAATAACGAGTAGCCACACTGTTAGAAGCCACAAGGCAAGGGGAATCTGGCCCCCTTCTTACGGAGCCATCGGCTGAACCCATCGCGTCCACTTCGGGATCGTCTTCCGAAGCGGCCGATGTTGTTGATCCGACAGAGTACCTCCAACTAGCAGGTGGATGCTATCTCTGGTGGTATCCTCATTCGAAGGCTGGCTAATAAGCAGAGGTTTGCAAGTGGAATTGAAGTGCTCGCGCTGTAATTGGCCGTTCGAGTCCACAAGGCATCTGTGGTGGGAATGTCCAGCTTCCAAACGAATTTGGAAGTGGTGGGAACATCACTGGAAAAAAATGGGAGGAGAACGGGTAGACTGGAAGGAAGGTTGGGCGCTACTGGGCTTCCTGTCCACAGAACAATCAGGCAGGAAAGGATGGAGCTATATTGCTCATGTGGTCAGAGGAATCCTGTGCCAGGTCATCTGGGCAGACAGGAACAAGGCGAGGTTCGAGAGACGGCCTCTCTTAGACGCAGAGATCAAGTGCAGAATCAAGAAGTGCCTGAAGCAAGCGTGTGATACCCAACCTCACACCCCCTCGCGGCTTCCCGTTCGTGGTCGCCGATCAGAGTTTTGGGCGGGGCGGGGCCGAGGATTTTTGGCCGTAAGGGTTGAGTCTCCCGGACGGAATGGGAGGCTCTCGTTTCGTGCCAGAGGTTTTCCCCGGAGTCGAACTGTCATCGCGAAGTCCCGTGGGGATCGGATCACTCCGAAACGATAAAATCAGAAGGGTTTCGGCAAAAACCAATTGCCATCGTGCATTAGGACGGGAAAAGGCATCAAGGGGAGAGGGCCATGGCGGTGGAAGACAGAAAATCCGGCCGTCATGGGTTCAGGGGATAGGGGGTGGGTTCGAAGCCTTCAGGCCACGTCATCGGCCTCACGAAGTGACCGGACCATTGGGTCTTTGCTGTAGAGGTGGTTGGTTCGAGACCTTCAAGCCTCGGCGTCGGACTCGCAGAGCCCGCGTGGAAGTTTCCGAGAGGGTGAAACGGCGGGAGGGCTTGTCGGCATCCGAATTCGAAATTGCGCGGGCAGCGCCCCCGCATGACGGGAGAGCTCGGGGAAACGTGTCGCTCCCTCGTAACCCTGGACCAAGCGTTGCCAAGAACACGAGTCCCCCTGGCGACACCAGCGACAATCAAATCGCGGACGCCACGAGGCGTGAGCGGCCGACCTGGGCAACACAGTTAAACCCCTAAAGGGCAATATTAGAGTCGGGGAATCAAAACGATCAATCAAGACAAACCCGTTCCCCCTTATATCACAAGCCCGAGGCGGGTCTTGCCAACACACTTGCTCCGTCCGCCTCAGCGCGCGCCGTACGTCCGCATCGCAGTAGACGCTGTCGTCATCTGTGATGGGGAAGGTCGGTAGCGAGATGAGACGATCGGAGGTACGCGATGAACACGGGCAAGATCCCGCGCTCCCAGTCATCCGAACCAACACCGACTCCATACAACACTCGATGCAGCCTTCTCTCTCAAGGTTAGTGCGTCGGGAAAGGATGGCGAAATCTAAGCTCTCTTCCCCTTGCGGGGGCGTCGACCACGCGCGCGGACGCCGGCGTTTGACGTCACTAGTGCGGGGACGAGAAGATCAAAGCAATGACTACCAGTTCACAAAAAGAAAGAGACGAGAGGGAGAGAGGGAGTAAGTTACATCGAGACTGCTCGTGCGCGCAGGAAGGGCCGCGGAAGGGAGGGGAACAACGGGATTAACACCCTTATACTCCTAAGCAGACAGTTCCCCAGTTTTGTTCCTCCGTCCCCGCCCGGATAGGTACATACACACATACATGCATGCAATCGACAACTCTTGACAGGGCATCCAATCATCCAGAGACCTTTGACATCACTCATGCGCACAACAAGCTTCCCAATACTCGGGGCCTCACACACGCAGCATGCATAGACAAAGCAGCAATGGAGATAAAAGCGAGTCCTTCTCGTACACAAAAATTCTCAATTAACTGCCGCCCTCAGGCGCAACCTTCAAAACTTCCCAAGACCACCGGCCACCAGCGGGTCCACCCCGCGTCGTCACTCCGCCCGGTCTTGGGCTCGTTGAGCCTGTTCGGCGCCGTGGACTTCGCGCATAGCTCGCGCAACATTGCAGCTGAGATCAAAGAGAGAGAGAGGAGAGGGTTGCGCGAATTTATAGCGCGGGGAGGCGGCGGGTTGTCAGCGCAAGGTGCGGGCAGCGCAGGTTGTAGATGAGCAGGACAGGAGGAAGGTGGGGAGTTAGAGGGTTCGACCCGCGGGATGGCATGGTCCTACGTGATTGGGGTGTCYGTTCAAGTGGTGYRCGGTTTCCCGCTCTCCACATTGATCCGAGMATCCCAACTACGCGGCCAATCACTTCGYGGAGTAAGGATCGAGCTGGGCGGAGGGGAAGACGAARAGTCCTGCAWGGGGGAAACRCGCGCAGCAAGAAGGGAAGATGRYGCGGGGATGCAAAGCAAGAAACGGGGGTGCGAGACRCGCGAAGAAGTCGGWGMTTAGGCRYGCGCGYGCAAAAATTCAAAAAGTCCCCACCGAARCCGTTTSTTGGTTTTCATACCGCGGCCGCTATTCGCCCGCGCGGGAGTTATTAACCAAAAAAAAATGAAAAAGCCGTTTCAAAAAGAAAACAAAAGCAAAAAGAAAGAAAACCCCCTTTTTGTCCGCATCCGTGCCTCGGGGCTTCCGGGGGATTTTTCCTCAGGGATACCGGAAGCCGCGCGGTACGGGTCTGAGCTTATCACATCTGTGATACGCAGGGGGTTCCGAAAAATTAGCAGTCTCCCGACTGCTGAGGTCATCATGTCTTAGATGATCGGGCGGCCTCTTCATCGTCAGCTGGCCCGATCTTCTTCCTAATCTACGTGGATCCATCTTGCATCCTCCATCGCCGCCTCCCATAGTATACATCCGATCGGGCGGCCCCTTCATCGTCAGCTGACCCGATACCTCCATTAGCAGGATTTTGCAGCAAATTTTATCTCTTTTTTGCTGCTCTAGGTTGCGGAGCTTATTTATTAGCCTTAATAGGAGTAGTAACCAGCGTTATTAGTTGCTTTTATTATATACGTTTTGTGAAAGTCATGTATTTTAAAACACCTAAAACATGGATTTTCTATAAACCAATGGATCGTGAAAAATCTTTATTGCTTGCTATTACTCTTTTTTTTATCACTTTTTTTTTCTTATATCCTTCTCCTTTATTTTTGGTTACTCATCAAATGGCACTAAGTCTGTGGCTGTAAGTTTCGAGCGGAGACGAAACTTCGTAGTAATAAAATAAATACGCGCTGCTAACTAAATGCCATAAAGGCTCCGCGTACTCGGGCTTGGTTGGTGGTGATTTCTATATGTACATTCTTACCACAAACGATAATGAGAAAAGCTACGATTTGATTCAGCTAATTTATGAAAATCATCTCTTTTTTTTCTAGCAAATCCTTGTTTTTTCGAAGCATCCTGTATTTCAGCAGATAAAGATTGATCTAAAAAAACAGCTCACACTTTCTTAATGATCTGTGCGCCGCTGTGCTAGATGTTTGCAACCACACCACTGCAACAATGTGGTGAATACCTAGKACTTACCATAAATAAAATAAAATAAAGGTACCGATAGCTTGTCCGTAGGTAAATGTTCTCAAAGGCTCAGGAAGGAGTCCACTATAATATAATGCCAGAAATCTAAGATCAATTTCTGACAAGTTGC